CATTTCTCAGTTACCGATACAGGAAATTTTGTCACAACTCTGTTTTTTTTTAAATTGGAAGGCTTCACTTGGCACATTTTTTTTTTCTTATGCTGCTTTCATTGCTTTATTGAGAAGGACAAAATGAGAAATTGCTGTTGAAAGCTCTGCAGAGATGCGACATTTTTCTTTCTGCTCAGTAGTCCAGAATCTGTGTGAAGAAAAGCCTTCTGGCCCTGAAGCAATGTGTGTTGCTCTACTAAAGCGACTCCCTTCCCACCCAGCTTGATAGGAAAACACAGACTTCAAACTGTTAAAATATCTTCAGTCATGACGTGTTAAGTAGCTAAACCTAGAGCTCTGATGGCTCTGATCCTGCCCGGACTGCCTGTGCCAGCCTCCTGCCTGAAATCAGTACGGACACCTCGCAGACCTGGGCCCAGAGCTGGTACCCAGTGGGACATCCTTCCCAAGCCCACCAGCTGTCCCAGGATGCTGTTAGAGCAGTTTCCACATCCAATGGCTGCTGCAGCGGCTGAGCCGAGTACCAAACCAGGGCCGGGGGTAAGAGCTTTACTCCAGCAGCTTCTCCCGTTGCACCAGTTGCACCACCACAGCTCACGGGCACGGAAACGGACGTTATTTGTCAACCAAGAAGCAGCAGGAGACTCCATCCAAACGCAGACCCCAAACTGCATCCAAGGAAAGGCGGCCACCTTTGCGGCCGAGCCTTTCCCGCTTGGCTGACGTGCTGTGTTTCTGGAGACAGCGAGCAGTGCCTGTCTGACCGCCACACGAAATGCACCCAGGTCCCCGCAGCCAGCCCTGCCTTTCCGCTGGGATGGAGAGCTGAGCGACGCTTGGACCAGGATTTTCAAAGCCACCAGTAGGATCTGGTCCCTTAACTCTTGTTAAGTCGAATAAAAATTAGTGCTGATGACAATGGCTAACCACAATTTCTTTCACCTCTCTCCTCCGCCTCTGCCAAAGCTGTCCAGCACTCTTAAGTAAATTATGAGGTTCGGTTAATATGGATATTTTACTATTATAATTAGGAACATACTCATTTCTGGTTTATTGTTTTTCTTTTCTGGTATGTTTTCACTCTTACATCTGATAGACACTTTCAAATTAATTTTCTTACTATTACTGTTCAACCTAGTAATGCGTACAAGGCAAAACCAATAGCCCACAACCCTACATACTTCTGATATGGAAACCACTTCTTTTCTTTTCTTTAAAAGAACCACACAGATTCTGTCAGGAATGCAGGCACAGCCAAGCCACATATATTATATTTTATTTAAATTTTATAAAACTAAAATTTATCCAGCGAGGGGTGGAGGGAGAGGGTAAAAGAAAAAATTAACAGGTCAAACTGAAAACTGTATTTTTAAGTTAGATTACTTTCATCACCAGGCTGCTTTTTATACCTCCCTTCAGAGCTCATAAATCTCTACAGGTAAAGATCAATGCCTTGCAAAATTCAGATAAAGAGGCATCAGCTCCACCGAAAAGACCTGCCTTCAT